CAGTTAGGCAAGTGACCAGTTGGGCCATGATGTGAATGTTGTCACATGGAGAAATGAGTTGAGCAATCTGCTTGGTAAATGTCTCCTGACTCTGAAGCTTTAGCCAGTGTTGCCAGAGATTGGAGTTGTTATTTGTGCTATGTTTTCTTTGGAAGATTTACAAATTTGTGGTTTATATTGTATTTGGTTGGAAAGATAATGGTTCATTATTTTACAGTGATAAAATACATTTTTTAATTTTTTTTTTAGAAATAAGTTTTTCTAAGAGAAGTTTTATCACTTTGATAAGATGGGAAGCATTAACCCATTGCTGATGGGATGGCAAGAGTACAACTAATATCCACTCTGTCTTACTGCTTATTAATTGTCGTTACACACAAGCTATCTAAAGGGAGGTAGTGTTATCCCCACTGAGATCTGTGGTAACATTGAACAAAATATGATTTTTTTCTGTTTATTTTGCAAGCTTCAGTATACATTTACATTTACATTTCTATGGTACCTTTGGGTTAAGTCCAAGCTGCTGGTGATCTTCATAGGTCTTCATAACAAATTACTGTATTTCTTTTATATTATTGCTGTTATTATCAGTTTTGTATTCTATGATGTTTTATTATGATTATCATTATCATTTTCTTTCTTTGTCTTGCTATATTTATCACCATTTTATGACTTTAACATTAGCCTAACATTAATTAATGTTGTATTTATTGTTATTGTATTTAATTATTTATTATTTTATTTATTTTATTTTTATTCATATGATATCCTTATTATTATATAACTAATTATTATATATTAATTATTAATAATTTATTAAATATTATCCAGTGTTATTAGGTTATTATAGATTAATTTAATTGATGGATTTTTCAAGATCTTTAACTATTTTATTATTATAATTATATTGATTCTTAGGCTCTAGGCTGTGGACTTCGGTGGAACTGTCTAACTGCCGGTGGATTTGGACCTAGTTGATGAATGGTGCTTGGGCCTGATAGGGACAGACGAGAGCAGGCGCTTCAACCCTTCGTAGCGAGTTCAAGAATGCCACCTTCCTCCCAGCTGTTGTACTGAAGGTTAGTGTAATGGTTAGGGGTGTGGCTGTGGGATGGGTTAATGCACATTCAAGATATGATTATAAAAAGATTATGTTCAGCTATGAAATCAAATTCATAGGATATATTATCTTAAACTAACAGCACCTGTGAAAATTCCTCCTCTCCCATTTCTTTTCCCTCTCCCTCTACCTCTACATCTACCTTCTCCTTTCCCACTTTTCTGCCCTTTTCACTCCCAAATCTTCCTTATATTCACTCATTCTCTCCCATTTTATGTCCTACATCTGCCCCTCCCACCTTCCTCCAATTGCTCTTTAACCTCCCCACCTTTGCTCTCTTAGTAACTTTCTCTCCCCTCCCTTTCCCCTTTCCCCTTCCCCATCTCCCTTTTCCTCTGTTTTCTCTTCCCTCTCTCCCTTTTCCTCTGTTTCCCATTCCCCATCTCCCTTTTTTCTTTAAGGCCCCTTTCCTTCCCCTTCTTTCTAAACCAATCCCTTTGAATACTTATAAATGTGTTAACTGACTGTCTAACTACTCCAGTGCAGTGTGTACTTGCCTCACACTCATAAGATTATTAACCCATTGGATCTGGTTGTGTCATGGCAATCACACAGCCGAAAATATGGGCATTAGGTTTTCTAAATGGCTGCTTGGCCAGGCACATGCAGACAGTTGTGTGGGGTGCATTGTTATATTGTCTTTTTAGCATTTTTGCTATTTTCCAATGTATATGTCTTTTGAGTTTGCTTTATCAGATGGTAATATATTATTTTCCTTGCACAGACTCCATATCATCTCTCTTTGTAGTGAATAACTCAGTGCAAGATTATTATTATTATTATTTTTTTTGTCCATTTTTTTTGTTTGAACACTCATGCAAGTCTTTTCCATTACCACTCTGGCCTTCTCATGATGGCAAGTTCATATCACCCGCATGTGGCCATTTTGTCCCAGGATGGCATGTTCATGTTACCCAGCTCTACAATATTTTTTTCATGATGGAATGGTCATTTCACCTGGATCAAATGGGTCAAGTTGGAGCATGTGAATGAATGGATTGAAACACAAGCAGAATTATTTTATAAGATTCAGATTGATGCATAATATGATGCCTTTATATATATATTATATATATATATATATATATATATATATATATATATATATATATATATATATATATATATATATATATATAGTGATACTGAGTGATGGTGAGTGAGTGTGTGAGTGCGAGGTGCGGAGTGTGGTGTTGCGTGTGCGTGTGCGTGTGCGTGTGCGTGTGCGTGTGCGTGTGTGTGGTGCATGTGTGTGCATGTGTATATGTGTACAAGTATGTACGAGTGTGTGTGAGTGTTTGTAGTCACATTTAATATATTTTTTGGAGTGTGATATTAAGCAATTATGATATAAATGCTATATTTCTATGCAATGAAAAAGTGTTGAATTATAGGTTTTCATATGGATGATTACCATGCATGAATGCTGTCAAAGTAGACTGTTATTCTCTATTCTTCTAAATACTGGTGTATCTTATGGCCTGTTAGAAATTATGTCCAGAATACCTGAAGGCAGTACCAGAAATTTAGAAGTTTTGTGAGGTTGGAGGTTGTGGACTAGAGTTATAATCATAACAAATGTAGAAAAGAAAAAGATACAAGAATAGATCATGAATAAACATCATAATGTAGCTCAAAGTTATATAACATACAACTTTTTTATGGTTTGACAGAATGCAGAGATGTCTTTCAACTTTGGGGCAACAGAATTCAAGTACCCTCCAAAGGGGGGCTTTATGGCCATCTGTCAGGCTCCTAAGGATTGCACAGTAACTTCAGGTGTCAGGGGCGGAGACAAGCCACAGAAGGTGGAGAATAACGCTCCTCAGGCCATCATTATTGAGGTAAGGTGTTTTGTTCATTCATGTTTATTTAATTATTCTGTAAAAGATGTGGATCTTAGATTTCATTAGATAATAAGAATTATTCTGCAGGGTAATGTTTTTTTATGGTGCCTATGTTTGTGGTATTTTGTTGAAAAGGAATTTTTTTCATGGCTCACTTTTTTTTTCCATAACTAGTGATTCAAAATGGTATTTTGGAGTTATAGTATGATGCATTGGTGAATGGTTCTCAGAATTTCAAGTCCATCTCGCACCTTGCTTGTCTTCCTCCCATGCAAGGCTTGTTGTAGGGATGTTGCCAACTTATGACTTGATATTTTTGCTCCTCTTACGAAATATCAACCTCAGAAATAGCTTCCAGAAAGACATCAAATAAAGATAAAGGCAGAAAAAAGAAAAGACAGTGCAAGAGTATCTCACTTCCCACAAAATCTTGCTATACAGCTCTGTGAGGAGTATGTTACACAAACACTTGACATTCCACACTCAACTGTGCAAATGATCTAAGCAAATAAGAAGATAAAGAAGGCTGTTGATCTTGGTTCCCCAGCAAGTGCACTCCATACAAGTTATTCTTAGAGCGCCGTGCTTAATAGGACAGAAAAATTGTATCTATAAGGTTTGAAGATCAGAAGCACTGCAACCTTTCAGTGAGTCTTATGGCAATGTAGCACAAGCATAAGGTGAAAAATAACAACTTGACCTAATAATGATGAGTGTCTCACCAAATGAGATAGTTGTGAGGTCAGAGAATGTTTTTTCTATTTTGAAGAACTAAACAAGGAGAAGAAGAGAAATGGGAAACAAGTCGCAATAGGTATAAAGCTCTTTTTACAAAGTAGGATCGTGAGAAGGAAAAGGAGTCCCCTCCCCTGGCCACCCTAGCTTGGAATCTCTGGGAACAGCCACCCATGCTCCCCTCCATTGTCATTCGCCAAATTTTTCTAGTGTTATTGTGGATAATGCATTACTAAACTTTATGATTTAATCAGAGTTTTTAAATTTACCAAATTCAAATAATTTCATCAATTTGAGAGTGTTGCAGTCGGGGTTGGATGTTGCGGTACACAACCTTTTTTCATTTTCTTATAAGTAGATGTATGGATAGGTGAATAGATAGGTGGATGAATATTTTACCCTGTATAGGGTATGTCTTCTGATGTTTCCCTTTCTCACTTCCCCCAACAGCCCTCTCGAGAGCTAGCGGAGCAGACCCTGACACAACTCAAATTGTTCCACAAACACCTGGACAATCCTGTGGTACGTGACTTGTTGGTGGTAGGTGGCATTCCAGTGAAAGACCAGATTGCAGCTCTCAACTCAGGCATCGACATTGTGTGTGGCACTCCCGGTCGATTGGAGGACCTCATCAACACAGGACAGCTCTCACTCCAGTCGTGCAAGTTTTTCGTTCTTGATGAAGCTGATGGTCTGCTGAAACAGGTAAGGTTTTACTGATTTTATGTTTTTGATATTGATTTTGCTTTCTTTTGTTAATACTTCACCTTTAGTGGTTTTTATCTATTAATTGTCACAGAATTGTTAGGAATATAGTATATGAGATAGTATCCACAGACACTATTCAAGGGTTTTCATCCTTTGTAAAAAATAGATATATAATTTAGCAGTGGTTGCCTTGTACAAGGCAGAACCCTCACTTTAAGTACTGTTCAGCTGGTCTTGTGTACGTGCAGGTCAGGCTGAAAGTGTGGCAGTCTGGGCCGAATTGCATCACTTTGGTGCGAAATCTGGGGGCTGAGGGGAACCAGCGATAACATGACCCATAGGGTCTTTCTCCTCGGGTATCTCTGTTTTTTCAAGGTGTAATTAAAAACTATTGTCTGTATTTTGCTTAAAGAAATTATCAAAATATATACTCAACAAAAATAATATTGGAGATTTCATATGAAACATTTAGAGTCAATTATCACAAAATTTGTTTTTTTATTATGAAAAACAAGTAAACAAGAAATGGCTAATTTGAAACAAGATATACACTCATGTCAATGGCCCATCAGACTATTTTTGAATCAGTGAATCGGTTTCCATGCCTCTTTATTTAAAAAATATACACCATGAAACTTGAAACTACTGTGAAGCAAAATAATTGTGCTCCATGTTGCTCAAATGAGAAGTACTATGCGGGGTGAAATTCAAGCCAGAGGTATGTGCGGTCTATTATGTCGGTGCTTTTCGCAGTTGAAATACTAAACCTGGCTAGGCACACAGACACAAGTTAGGTCTGCCATTGCCTAAAATCTTTACCATATGAATGAAGCCGTAAGTATTGGAGAAAAACAAACTCTGTCGGACGAGCCAGTGGCGCGGGAGTGAGCATGATACGATGCCATCCGTTTTTCAGTCCACAACAGCCATGGCATGTACGTACATGCCACACGTCGGCTACGGGTTAAGTAGCAACACTCTTTAGCCATAGGCTATTGATGGACAAACGTTTAATACTTTGTAGTAAAATTAAGCATTTATACCCCCTCTTGTGTGTGATACCTGGGAGGGTAATTAGAAATCCACATGAAATATATTATGGTATTATTATTTCACACATATAGAAACAGCCTTAAAAAGGCCGCTTTGTTTCTGAATAGGATGTTTTAGTGAAAGTAATTTAGATTTTGGGTGTACACTGGATGTACTGTACATCATTGTCAGGGAGGCTCTTTGCAAGCAACTGTAAAGGGTAATATTGCATTAGTGCATAGTATATGTGGATATTGTCAGTTGGTGGAAATTTTTTTTTGTAATGAATGCTGACTCCAATGTAATCTAGAGAATCTAGTTTTACACCTAACATTGGAGTGTGGGTATATGTGGAAACCTAGTACATACATTGAGGGACTAAGCTTATATCTTTTGCATAGATTATTACAACAGTATTTTATTAAATCTTCCTTGTTTAGAACCTTGTTTTTCTTACTCTGCTATTCAACAAGCATATAGGCTAATGCCACATAATGGAAAATGCATAGAGGAATGCCTGTAAAAAAAAAGGTAATTTAGCATGTAGCTCAAAACTTGGTTCCCTAAAAAAAAAAAAAAAAAAAAAAAAAATATATATATATATATTTTTTTTTTTTCTGGGGGGGGGGGGGGAAGAGTTAGTGAGGATATGTATTATCACAGTGCAGCCCTGGTTATTTCCTTATTTCTTTTACCTCTCTGTAATGCCACTATTGATTGGGTTAAGAATTTATAAGTGAAATTGTATTATATGAACTTCCATTGTTCATTCTATCAGGCTCTGTGAACCAGAAATGATTATATATACACTCTTTATATGTCATTATAATTCATATTTCACTTTCTCTATCATGCAGCCTCTCAAGAGTTGAGTTCTAAGTTTGTAAGTGATCAAATACCCTCTTATAAGGATGTGTGTAGTGTGGTTCTTTTAAGTAATTCCTTGATTACTGCTACCTTATGTACCTTGTGAGTGTAATCTGTTCAGTGTAGGGGAAGACCCTATTGTGTATAAGGAAGGTGTAGGAAACACTCATACTTATTAGTCTATTTATTACTTAACTCTACTTACGTGGAAATAAGTTTTAATTGCTCTCCTCGATCACTGGAAGTTCTAAAGATATCGAATAGTTTTCAAGACTGGCTAAAGTAGACCGCCTCAAGTAATCACCAAAAGTAGACTGCCTGCCCATGGGTACCACAGTGCTCCCCTGGGCATCGCCGGTCAGCTGAGGTCAGCAGTTTATAGTAACAAATAACGCGCTCCTTGGTCTTGGGGATGGTATAGGACTTGCACCCTAATGCCTGAGTCTAGTACGCCTCTATCCCCCGTACAAAACTAGAGGAACTTTCCCATCACACTGTTTTCACACTGCTATACACATGACTCTCTGGGTGATTCCCATGGCCCATGACTTTACATGTATTTGTTTGTCACTGATTCTGGCCTGTGACAATATAATACACAAAGATTATCAGTTTACATCTTTTCACAAGACCAAATTTTAAAGACAAGCTGAAAGAAAGTTCTAGGGATTGTTTGATTTTTGTTCAAGAAATTTGATTTTGTTTAGAAATATATTACAGTTAAATCTTTATTATGCATTGTAATTTTATGATTTTTAGATTATAAACAAATATAAATCCTCTTTTAATTTTCAGGGACATGAACGCCTTGTTAATAACATCCACAGTGCCATCCCTAAGATCACATCTGATGGAAAGAGGCTCCAGATGATTGTCTGTTCTGCAACACTGCATTCCTTTGAGGTCAAGCGCATGGCTGTAAGTAACCACAGTGTCAAGAGTTCTATTTTAATATTTGTCATTTTGATATTTTGTATCAAGATGGTAACAGAATGTATTCCTTGCACAAACTCCACATCATCTCTCAAGGTAGTCTTTAACTTTGTGCAATAAGGATAACAATTATTATTTTGAAATTTGTGTCATTTTTAAGATATTTCTGTAATATTTGCACTTCTGTAAAACAACCTGTGCTTCTGGTTGTATTGAGCAGGAATAAGATCCTGATCTTGGAAACAGCGTCCTCCCTGGAGCCAGTGCTCTTCTGGTCATGGCTTATAGATAGTACAGTACACAATCATTTACCATTGGAAATAATGCAAGAGTCCCTTTCTTAAATCTCGTCTGACTCAAATTATCCTCCAAGAGCTTTGTGCACCTGTAGCAAAGTATTCCTGTCACTCTGGCCTTCATTTAAGATTCTCATGATGGCATATTCGTGTCACCCCAGGTCCTTAGCCAAATTTTTCATGATGGCACAACCATATCGTCTGGATCCATGGGGATAATTGTAAAATGTTTAACACTTCTGTCATAATGCATTTCTTTGCCTTTACTATAAGTAAACTTTATGTTAAAAAGTGTTTTCATTTTGTTTACTGTATGGATTCCTTCATTGATTATGTAGAGCCTTTTTTTATTTCATAATTGATGTTACAGTGTTCATAGGATCCATTTATACTCATGTAGATTCTTGCCAGATGCAAATAATCATATCTCACTGTTTGAGCAGGTTGTATGTAATCAGTTGAAAAGGACATTTGGAGATAATTGCTTCTGAGAGGATTGTTGTACAATGTATTTCAGTATGAATAAAGAAAAGTTGACACATACATCAAAATGCCTTTGTTTGAAATATTCTAATTCCCAGGTTTTGATGAGGAAGAGAAAGGATTTTCCTTCTACATTATATCAGACCATAATGTGTCTCCTTGTCTACCCCCCAAGGAACGCCTGATGCACTTCCCAACGTGGGTTGACCTTAAGGGAGAAGACGCTGTTCCTGAGACTGTCCACCATGTTGTTGTTACGGTTGACCCGCGTGCTGACACCACCTGGAGTACCTTGCGACGCCATATCCCTACAGATGGAGTACACCAGAAGGACAATGTCCGGCCAGGAAACAATACGCCCGGTATGTGTATGCGAGGAAAGAAAGGGAATGATGTGTTTCCATAGTGGCTCCCTGTGTTTGCTGGGATCTTTCGGGGTTTGGGTATCTTATGTAGATTTTTGATTGTATATTCTCAATTAATGTACTGAATAGCCTTTAGTTGTCTAAGTCAGTTTCTAGTAAAACAAGGGTCATTGGTTATTAACTGCTGTCTCTTTTCCTTGAACAGAAACCCTGAGTGAAGCTGTGAAGATGCTGAAAGGAGAGTACTGTCTCAAAGCCATTGACACCCACAAGATGGACAAAGCGCTGATCTTCTGCCGTACAAAGCTTGACTGTGATAACCTAGAGCGCTATTTCAATCAGATTGGTAAGCATCTCTGGTCAAGCACAGTTTATTAAGTGGACTGTTCCTGGTGGTGGTGGGGATTTTAGTTTGGAGTGGTCGAAAATGAGTTATTTTCAGTTTGATATTTGTGTATAAGTGTAGAATTTCCCACGTTAATATATACTCGCGCAACAAAAAATTAAGGCAATGTTTAAGGCGAGAACCCCAAGTCTCCCTGTCACTGTCAGCAATTATCACCCTTCCGCTCTCGCTGTACGGGAGCGAGTATGATGTATTGTATTATGACATTACCTATTGAAATGGAGCAATAGATTTGATAGGTATGATTTGACTTTGACATTTTCATCATACAAGTATATTTAGGGTTCAGTGATAATAAATTAGAAGTTATAAGTCTGTATCTCCAAAAATAAACTCGCAACGAATAGATATTTACTTGGGCTGGGCGCTCACCCGCGTTAACGACTGTCTCAGGACTCAGGTGACAGAGTCCTTCTGAGTAGATGATGTGGAAGAAGAGTAGACTGGAACAAGAATAAGATAATTTAAATAAATCATTTAATATCTGACAGGTAAATGTTCAGATTGCTTGTGGAAGTTGGGCTAAGTAATTGGCAGCCTAGGTGAACAGTTTCATACAGCCTTTATACCTTGCCATAAAGTGACAGTTGATGAAAGGGTCTTTGGAAGTTCAGAGGGCAACTGCAAACCCAAGCAAAGGGGTAATCTTTGACTTGAAGAGTACTTAAGTACAGCAGTGGGTGGATAAAGAGTCAATCACCATCATTTCTGTGGTCCATACCAGTAAAGTCAAGGACTTCACTGGGGACAACTACACCTATGTGACTTCAGGGTGGATATCATTGACAGCTTTTGCCATAATGCCTCAGGATGACCACCACTTATGGTATTCTTTATCTACAAAGAAGGACTCCCCATGTTGCCAAGGCAATTGAGGACTACAGGTATCGCTGTGTCCCATGTGCTATAGTGATAGCCACAGAAAAATTATCAGCCTATACTGTGTAGATTGTAAGGTCCTTCTACACAGTTGGGTGCTTTGCGGCCTATCATTTAAATGTCAGATATTTAAAGATAGGAGGAGAATTATCAGTAAAATTGTAGATCTAGAAAGTCTGTATATTTATATACATTTTTATACATATCTTGTACATATCCTTTATGTACAAATGAAGCAAGATTTATGTGAACTCTTAACAGATGCCGCAGCACACTGATGTAGTTGTAAATACATAACCGTACTAATGAAGCCAGTCAGATATCTCATATGTCTTGTCACAACTTTTTTCTAAGTATAGAAAGCATGATTGCTGGCCTCTTCCTAGGGCTATGAAATAAAACTGCAGGAGTGCCCAGGGCTATAAATAAACCCTACCAGTTGGAAGTATAAACAGACTGGCTGGATAATCTGCCTTCATTGGGTTACTTAGTTGTATTTTTTTTTTTTTTTTTTGTCTAATGGAACTTTTTTTATTACATGTTTCACACATCCCAGCCACCGACTACTACCCTCACTTCAAAACTTTTCTTTACAACCGATGGCAATCCTTCTGGTCACGTCTGTGCACCAACAAACTCCAAACCATAAAACCCTCAATCTCCCCTTGGTCAGCTCCATACCATCAAAACAGATGTTGGGAAACTGCCCTTGCCTGCCTACGAATAGGCCACACCAGAATCACTCACTCATACCTCATGTCACATCCCTCTAACCTACCTCTATGCCCTACATACAATGTCCTTCTCTCTGTCCCACATATCCTAATATCCTGTCCTCGCTTTACCGAAGCCCGCATCCTTACTTTTCCTCGCATATCCCATCTTCCCCGACCCCCCAACCTGTCAGACATCCTTACAGAATCCCCCACCTTTTTTATTAATAATTTATTCTCCTTCCTCAGACGCATAAATATCCTTCATTTGATCTAATCGCCCATTGTCCTTAACCCTTCCTCTTCTCATCAATACCTATCCTACTCCCATCTACCATCTCCTCCTACTCCTATAAATACTATACTATCATACAATAAATGACCATCGAAACTTAACATTTTAATTGTAATAAAGAATTTAAAAACCCTCCCAACACAATACGATACCATAGTGCTATATGACCTTTGATGTCTAGCACATTTATTTTCTTGTCATTATGGCCAACTTTTATTGCATGTTTTGTTTTTTATTAGTTCAATTGTTTTGTTTTTGTTATGGAATATCGTAGTTTATTTCATTGTTTATTTATCCTTTTTTTATTCTATAGATTTGCATATATGATGAAATAATAATGATATTAATTTTGAATTGCAATAGATTTAAAATCCTCTTTAAATATATACTCTTATATTCCTGTTTGTATGTATCGATATGTAAATGCTTGTAAGTGTTCCCTATACTTTGATCTTTTTTCTGGTCCATCACTTTTTTCCAAAGGGGGTGGGGGGGGCAACCATTTCATAAACCCCCCACTCTCAAGTATTTGAAATGCAACATATTCTAAATTGCAGGTGGAGGACCCAAGAATCCTGCCAATCCCTACTCCTGTGTATGCCTCCATGGTGATCGTAAACCCAACGAACGTAAAGCTAATCTTGAAACCTTCAAGAATGGGCGAGTCAGGTTCCTCATTTGCACTGATGTTGCTGCCCGTGGAATTGGTAAGTACAAGGACCTATTTTGCAGAGTTTGTTTTGGTGTAGAAAAAGGCTTTTTGTTAGTCCAAGGGTTTAGATTTTGGTTTCATTAAAAAATGATGTCAGCAAGGACAGAATGAAAGAGGATAAAAAAAAAAAAAAATTGGTGGTGGACTCACCTTTTAGCAAATTTATCTCCTCCCACTAACAAGACCAAATATCTGCCTTGTGTAAACACTTCCTGAATTTGCAGCATATGAAAGAATTAGAGAATGAAATATCCATGTTCTTGTTTGAAATAACAAGTATGCCTGTTTAGAATTTTTGTTTTCTTGAAATATAGAAGATATTGATGTAAAGAAATTTAGAAAATCTGGAGGCTATATTCAGATTTATCAAACTTAATTTTTCAAGTGTTAGAGGAAACATCATTTGGTGAAAAACACACTCAGAATTTGTAGGGAGATATTTCAGATTAAGGGATGAAGTTCACGCCTAAAAGATATAAGAACTGTAAACCCTTCAGCTTGTCTATCCTCCTGCTGCAGAAAAGGCCTGGTCTTTGATTTCACTAAAAGGGAAATCATTTCAAGAGCCCAGTTTTCAACACCAGCCAGATTTTCTTTTTATTCTTTTTGTCATATATCAGGTATATGGGACATCAGTTGAGCACAAGGTTGAAAGGGTTATCACACTTCCCTTCACATATGAATAAGATATGTATAGGCATACTATAAACATGTAAGTAAACACATGGAAAGCAACAAAATCATATTTTTATCATTTAAGATATTAGAATATGGATTTGGTTAGCTCCTGTATATGGTACAAAAACATATACAGGAAAGAAATGTTCTGGGTATGGCTGGAGGTAACTTGCCAAACAGTACAAGAGATAGTAATAGAAAAAAGTCTTCTGCTTTTTGATAGGCCTTGCATAATTGTAGCAAATTGTAATGGTTAAGTAGTATGTGGAAACCATGATTGTGCCAGATAGGATAATGGGAGTTATGCAAAAAAAAGAGGAAAGATGATGAGGATAAGGTTGAAGTAGAGGAGGAGTAGAGATAATAGGAAGAGTTGGTATTAAGATAAAATATCAGAGAAGGTAGGAGGAGGAAGGAAAACAGACAGACAGACAGACAGACAGACAGAGATAGAGAAAAGGGGGGAATGGAGATGAGATAAAGAAATGGAGAAACGGAGATGAGATAAAGAAATGGAGAAACAGTGACAAGTTTTCTTATATTAAACAAAAAAGTCACTCAATAGATATTTCACTCCCTTGCAGATGTCAACGGCTTGCCCTTCATTATCAATGTGACTCTGCCAGATGAGAAGAGCAACTACGTGCATCGTATTGGCCGTGTGGGTCGAGCAGAGAGGATGGGTCTGGCCATCTCCATTGTTGCAGCTGTGCCAGAGAAAGTGAGTTGGTAGAGCAGAGTGGGAGGAGTGGCCATGTGAGTGGGTGTGGATGAGAGAGTGAGGAAAGAAATGTAAGAGAGTGAATTGAGTGAAGGGCTTGTTGCATGTGAGAGAATTAGTGTTACATAGGTGGTGAGTTAATGTATTGATAAGTTACTAAATGAATAAAGGAGTGTGAGATTATGTGAGGAAGTTGAGAGTTTGTGTGTTTTCTGCAGTGATAGGATTTTCAGATTAGAATGAATCATTTGCAGGTTTTGATTATGGTAGTAATAGTCTAAACAAGTTATGATAATTTTGATAGGCTCTTGATTTACATTTTAGAATATATGAGAAAGGCCACAGTTCTTTTTCTCTGTCCTTGGTGTCATAATCAAGATAGAAGCAAAATCAATGTTTGTGTGAGTGCACACCTGTGTTTATTTGCAAGAGTGAAGGGTTAGAATGCCTAGTAATGTTGCACATAGTAATTCATAGGATGTAAACAGACAACTCCCAACCATTCATTTGATTTCAGTTTATTACTAATTTTCTCACTTAGGTGTGGTACCATGGTGAATGGTGTCCAACAAGAGGACGTAACTGTTACAACACTCGCTTGACGACAGAAAAAGGCTGTTGTACATGGTATAATGAACCCCAGGTGAGAATGCCTATTTTAGCTGACAACTTGATTATTTGAATACTTGGAGTTTATTTTTTTTATTGGATTATTTTTTCCTTGGGAATTATATTATTGATTTTTGTCAGATGACAATAGCAGTATACAAGTAGTTTCTAGATAAGCAATAGTAATTTCCTTTCTTATACTTATTCTAATATCATACTGTATGACTGACATTTTTTCTCCTAATTTATGAATATGTATGGAAATTTTTTAGTCAGGCAAATAAATTTATGAAATGTTGTTGTGTTGCACAAGGAACCCATTATTTTCACACACAAAAAAGTTTGTCTTTGTTGTCATGTACAGAAACATAACTAGCAATATTGTAAAAAGGTAATAGAAAGTCCTAAGCATTAAGACCTATTAAGATTAAAACTTCACAAGAAGATTATTAGCATTATTCTCTCCCTTCAGTACTTGGCTGACATTGAGGAACACCTGGGAGTAACCATTCAGCAGGTGGACAAGGAGATGAAGGTCCCTGTGGATGAATTTGACGGGAAGGTTGTCTATGGTGAGAAGAGGGCAGCTGCAGGTGAGTGTAGTGAAAGGGAAGAGGTGTATGTTTGTGGTACTTCTATTATTTTTTTGTATTGTTTGATATATCTTCATTTCCCCCCTCCTCTCTCCTACAAATCCAAATCCTGATTCCCCTGCTCTTCTTCTTCCTCTTCATCTTCGTCTTCCTCCTCCTCTTCCTCTTCCTCTTCCTCTTCCTCCTCCGCTTCCTCTTCCTCTTCCTCTTCATCATTTTTCTCCTTCTCTATCTCCTCTTCATCCTCCTCCTCCTTCTTTTACTCATAGATTAAGCAATTGGCTTTAATCAAATTCTCATGTACTCATCCCATTAATTTTGCTCCTTTCTCATTTAGGTTCAAACTACCAGACCCATGTGGAACAGCTTGCACCTGCTGTCAAGGAACTAGCAGACCTTGAGAGACAAACACAGACCATCTACCTGAAACGGCAGTATGGAAAGGAGTATCCCTGGACTCGATAAGGCCGATTATAGCAGTATAAAAATTTTTTCTCTTGTAAGTTTGTATTGCGATTATAACTAAATGGAAAGCAACTGCTCAATGTTTGATATTACAAATATATCACTCCCATTTAACTTTCATGTTGTTAGTATTGCAATGACATGTTGTTTGGTAGCTAATCAATTAATAGATACTTGTGAGCTGCTATCATTGTGGTTTTGTTTAATACTTTTGGTTTTCAGTTCGTGAGGCATTATCACGATGGTTTGGTTTTTCATTATTTTTTAAAATCCTTTCATGATTGTATGCTCTGTAACCCAAGCTAAGGTGTCATTTTGTGAATTACGACATACTTAGACTATAGAGATCAAACTCATATTTGAAGTTAAGACAAGCTAAATGTGAAAGGTACTGTGGAACAAATTGTAATGGAGTGAAATTGTATTTGATGTATCTCGCATGTTTTGGCTGTGCCATCTTCCTGCTTCTCCTTTGTGATTGGGGCACAAGTGTGTCATTTGCCAATCATGGTTGGCAGTTAAAATAAATAATGATGCAAGAAA